GTTGATGAAAATAAAGATTTCGACTGCATGAACCAGTTGACATTGTACAGTCTTCAGAAGTTCAATCACATCAAACGAATTTATTCCTAATGACTGAACTGCGATTTCGCGCATGGCGGCAGCGTACTGATTTATTCCGATAGTTGTCCTTGTCAGGCAACTTCGCTTACTGTCAACCTTTATGTTTCCCTTCATTGTTCAATAGAAGTGCCTGTATTGAAGATGATCGCTAGGATGAGGCTGGACAATGACATATATAGGTAACGTCAATGTTATGCACGGTGAACACGAATCAATATTGTAAAATAAACATTCTCACAAATGATAAACTTCTGAAACTCAAATGAACTAATGACAAAAATCGAAATCACAATTCAACATGCAATATTCAAGACTATTTATTTGTAAGAAGTGAACACCATTTCTCTTTCTTGCTTCACAGAGTGCAATTTCATACTTCTCAGTGAACAACCTTGAGAATCATCAGACATTTGTCCACCATCATGAATAGGTGTCTATTATAGGAACCATAAGTTCTAATTACGTTACTTAAAAAAACAAATAAGAAACATCATTTAAGGTAACTGAAGGAAAAGGTCATGACACGATAACAAGGTTAAACACATGAATAATAATACAAATGGTTATTGTACAGCGTTGTCAACAATCATAATTACTTTGAGCAAGCTGTTTTGGTATTTCGACGGAACAGTACAGAAAGAACTCACTTACTTTTAAATCCGTCATTACATTTATACATCACAATAATACACAACACAAATTTTCAAGAAAAACTTCATCACATTTGTAGTCATACGGTTACCTCTCACCAGCGAGAGGCAAAACATACTCTGATACTCCTTTCGAACGTTTGTTTTCATTGATAAGAGGCGTTGAACTGGAGCAAATCCAAATAAGTTAGATGGTAAATGAAGAATGTATGCAGACAGACTTTGATCTAACAGTGTCCACATAACGCATCACTGTAAACGCATCATTGTTGAACGTTGAAAAAGTGTAGTGAATTTACATCTCTCATACATATTCCAGTGCATTGATTTCAAATTTAGTTGAATCTTTCATAATAACAATAAACAATATGACGGTTACTTTAAAGAAGAAAGATATATGTACCGGTATCACACGATATTTTCTTTTAATACCTCAACAGTGATAAAATTTTCGGTTGCTCTTCACTACATTGTGATAATAAGAAAGAGAGAAATATATGTAATGTTTCTAAGATATTTCATTACCTTCTTTTATTCTACATTTTATCATATGAGCTTACGTGAGTTTGAAGGCGGTTCATATTTTACATATCAAATTATCATCATGTATTCGTTTATCATGTTCAATATGTATGTAACTGAAATACAGTTTTCAATGTTTCACGCAGGGCGGATGAACCGTTATTCAGTCTAAAGTTCAGTGACATCAAAATCGCTAGTCAATCAATATATGTTGTGAAGTTATTGGTGTATTTGACTATATATAAAGGGGATTGTACTGAATATTGCTAAGTGAAGGCTTAAAATGAATGATGTGAGTTTGTAAATTTTAATATCTTTATATCCTTTGAGTTTTGATTTGATTCAGGTTGAAAAAGCATTATTGTTTAAGTAAACTGAAATGCTTTGACTTTTTGAACATGGATAAAAATTAAAGATTCATATATTCAAAAGTTGATGTAGAGACGGATAGATAGATATTTATAGGTATGGATATATAGACAGATGAAAGAGAAAAGGTGTTGAGCTGTTTTCTGTTGATGATTTTTCACATACTACTTTATTCACGAATGTTGAACTTCATTTTTGATTTCCCAAAAATATACCTGGATGTATACTTGCTACCATAGACCTGACATGGAATATAGAAGTGAAAGAATTGTTCAAATTTCTTTAAAGTCCTTGTTATTACATACTGCGTCTCGCTGCATCTAACAACTTTTAACGTTCTGGCAAATTCAGTCTAACTTGAAATTATTGGCATCATCATATCTGAATATTTCGACCATGAGTATAAATGCACTCGGTCCAATTTCAGTAGCAAACGACAATAACGCAAGTTGTAATTCAACCAGTTGCATGTAAGTATGTGAAGTTGTCTAACGATTAACTGTTGACAAACCAGATTACATTCAGAGTTTTGGACGGAACCTACTCGAATACCTGGTTTCATATTGTTGTAAGTCATGAAACCCGTTATTATTATCTTATATTTTAACTATTCATTTAAAATCATTTCCGTCATCAGTAAAATATTAGTGATGATAGATTCCAATTTCAATTCTTCAAAAAAGTTATGTTGAATGATCCTTAAAATAGTGCATTCATCTGAAATCATCGTCTACCTGAAAAGAACAAATATTGATTAGTTTGACAATAACACGTCGACTGTTTTCATTGTCGTACCGTTCACCTATTTCACAATCATTATGCACACGTAAATCTTTCTTGTTCAGAATACTGCCTATATGTGGTTGACATATCTGACGAAACGTTCGATATATCATACTAAACTCAGTGTATATTTAGGTTCATTTTGTTGTACACTTCGTTTACACGTTACGGATCGATTGCGCTACTGTTCACAATCATCATTATTCTCACCAAATCCCTTCATTCTGCATCTACATGCAACAGCATCTTCATTATTTTGACGGTGAGCTGACCATGATCTTTATACTCGCGTGTATTTTCAGGTGGTTTTTATAGGTGTAATTACATAAAATGTTGACGATTTAAAATGAAATTCTTGTTCGCTTGTTTTAACAAGCAACTGCTGAGAGATAAACAACTTTTTAAAAATTCTCAAGTTTGTATCCACATACGTATATATTTTCAATACACTGTTATTTATATGTGTATTTATTTATATATGTAAATAAATGGAGGCTTACATGAGTCGGGTATAATGATGCATCGGATAATGTGAGAACTATATGATGAGTGAAGAATAAGTGTGCGTCGTACTAGGCTGAATGAACGGACAAATGAAGTTTTGTTTGAATGACCCCTCCTTTCATACTCCAGAAATTGTTGATGTGATTTGCAGATGCTTCTGCACTATTGTCTCATCTTCAATCTTTCGGTGAACAGACAGAGATTCAATTTTGATCCTTTAAAACGAAGATGTGTGTAGTTGATAACTTTGTTCATGCTTAAGTTGATTTTAAAATTTCCATATGTTATGTTGATTACATTATTTGTCACATCTTCTAATCACTTATTCAAAGCATTTTCGAATTCGTTTGCGAGATAATTCGCAGTTGTAAAAAAAGCACTTAACATACGGTTAGACAATGGGAATGGTAACCACGGTGCGTTATATTTGAGATAAACGCACTACCAGTTTTTCTTCGGTTATTTTTTTCGATGTCGACTTATTTAACAATTTGTGTATCTTAAACTAACATATCACTTGTTTACTTCTTAGTTGATCGTTTGGATAATCTCCATTGGACTACTGAGCCCCCATGTTTATTGGAGTGATTTCATTGTTGCAGCTGATTTGACGTGCGTATTGATGATTCTCGCTGTTCTAATGGTTGGTAAATTGACAGATGCCGACCGAAAATGGAGGATAATATTATTTTCTTTTTGTTGTTTATTTATAGCAGCTGGAATCACTTTCTCTGTTCTAACCACAGTTTGCGAAATTCCAAAATACGTAAGCTGATTAGGAGAAATATCTTCAACATATCAACAATGATTACTGATAACATTTGCTTTCCAAATAATATATGATTCATTATTCAAACAAATTAATTGGAATCGTATAATAATTAGGAATGCAATAACGTAATGTATTCAAAATTAGTAGATGCCTCATCTATACGTTAAGCATGTATATTCATAACAAATTAATTCTTATTCATCAACGCTTATCGAAACGTATGAGGGCGTTACGCAAACACGTTACGCATCTTCCGTTTACACGACACTGCATATAAAATATGATGAATTAATGTCGAGACAAAGCAGCTGTCTATCGTTCGAAAGTTGAACTAGAACCCAATGAGTTATAATGTATAATGTTTACCAAGATCGAACGAGACATTTAAAAGCGATTGATTTTTTTCTTTTTTTCTAGGGAAAATTTGCAGTTCCGTCGTCAAAATCTTGGTGTAGTATAATGTTTTTTAATGTAAGATTTGGATAAAGAATTGCATTTTCTCTGAATTAACTGTGTCTGTAAATTGTGCTTTTCACATATTCTACTACTGACAGAAGCAACAAGTTTGAAGCTTTATTTACAAATGAATTTTTTCTTTCGTTGTAGATAGCATTTCTCGTTCTGTCGATAATTTTGTGGTGTAGCGCAATGTTCGTTGTAAGTTACCGATGAACAACTGATTTTAAACATACATGACTGTTTCTTCATGTAGTGCATTTTCACATATCGTACATAAATCAAAAACTACAACTTTGAAGCTTTTGAAAAAGTTATGCAATGGATACTCCAGAAGTTTTATCGACAGATTGATAGTTGAAGCGTCCTTAGTTACAATATTATCATATCAAGGCTTGAATGTTAGGTAGTGCATAGTGAAGATTCCAGATTTCTATGTTTTTTTCGTCAACCAACTGGATGTTTATGAGACGTATCTCATTGTCTAAGAATGTATAATTGATCAAATGATCAAACAAATAACTAACTCACTTGTCATTTGGTCAGTTTTGATGATGTGAAATTACTAGACAATGCACAGTTCATTTGTAAATATCTGTAGTTTTATCACATGAATATGAGGTGGTAAACTTTTTAATGTTAATCTTAACAATATCAACTTTACAATTACAGGTGATTACGCTGACCATTTACTACTTTTTGAAATACAGCGACGATTATTCTCTATTGTACATGACTTTAATATGTTCATCTGAGTTTTTGATACTGTTGATAATCTCACAATACCATGTCAATTTTTTCTTCCATTGTTATCTATGTCAAAAGTGACACAGTGAAATGATCAACGATTATGATCGAGTATTTGTTATTTATTATATATCCTAATAAATTTGAATGTGTTCTATTCTGTTCATCAAAATTATTCTATCAATATTATTTTACACTTACTGACTTGTGGTAGACTTTTGTTTGAATTTTTCTCTGATATGATAGAATAAATATGTTTATAATTGCCTGCTCACTTGTAGACCAAAATCACTTTATCAGTAGATGAATCATTTACAACTATGATGATAGAGAACTGTTTACTTGAAGTTATGATCTATCTGCGTCTTATGTCATTCATGAGATTGTGGACAGATCGACTACACCATGTTAACTACATAGAACGTATCTATCACTCAACATAACTTGGTGATTCTTATAAAAACACGTTTATTTTTATAGATTTATTACAATGAATTAACTCACCAGAAACTATCGAACATTTTTCAAAATGTGTTGACCGTATTCCTCCGTCCATAATGTCGATTTCAGTTAGCGTTTTCTTATTTCAAAAACGAATTCATTTGTTGCATCAACTCGACACGATGTCTGCATTGTTCGAAAAATTAGGGTCTCTTTTGTGCTAATACCTTTTGAGTTTGTCTCACATGAAATCACATGTGTTGCATTCGAATAAAGTGATTATGGGCCATCCTCATCACTAAATCCAAATCGTAATGGCTTATTCATCTAATCATCCAGAACCATCTTTCTTCACTTATGCACAAATAAAAAATGCTTATATACAAGCCTCAATGTAAAAATCGACTAGTTAGATCAGGACGATCATCACACTCAGAATGAGGATCGACTACATTCAAAATTGAATTCCTCATAAACGCTGCACCCGCAAAACATTGAGGCACCAAATATCATTGTTATTGTTTAAATTCAATCATTTCATAATTTTGAATATCCCATTTTTTCGCTGTGCATCAGCCTAAGATTTATCACCTTGTAAGTGTGCGATAATGATGTAACAACAGACTTCCAAAAATTTACAATCGAGCTAGCCAACAGCTTGCGTATTTTAACTGACTGTAATGGGCTTTAAGGATTGTTATGTTTCATTGAAATCATGAAATATCAGTGAAAAGGTTTTTGAAGTCTCTGAAACTAAGTTTGATCATTTTTTGTCCTAGTAGGTAAATTGGACATGTAAAAATTCTGTCGGTAAAATTATCAGTTCTTTCAGAATGGATAGTGTAGATTTAAATATATTTATTACTATCACAGTAAACGAGACATAATAGAAACATATCGTGTTGCGTGTACTTCTGACTGGTCACTGTACTACTGGAAATTTTATCAAAATATCGTAATGATAATTTTTCAACTGATCACAAGAAATTCGATACCAAACAATGAGTCATCAATTATGCACTTATCTTACTGGCACGTACTGTAGTCGAACGTTATTATCCTTGTTTGTGCAATGTTATGTATATGAGTACCAATTGCAATAATTTAACTTACAGTTAAGGAAAATTACAAACGATCTGTAAGCACTCGGTAGAGGAATCTAGTTGTGGCTGGAATTGTACTTTTGATGTTCGATGAAGATAAGTACTAGTGTTTTCGAGAAAGTGTGTACCGAATAAATGATTTGCAAACAGTCTTGACTTCGTTTACATTGATAAAAAGCATTTTGTGCTGCTGAGTACATGGATGCAGTGAACGGAACAATACAAAATGTATTATTTTGTTTATTATGATGATTAGTTGAAAAACACAAATTAAAACACGATTTCATTGTGTTCACAGCCAACTGAACTACAATCTTAACGTTGATGAAAGCTACATAGCTCCCGCTTGGGTTACGATAATGAGAAATTTCAACAAAATTTCGCTGACTTCAGTGAAGTATTTAACAGACGTAAAACTCCCAAATTAAAAAGCTGGATTCTATAAACCTCGATATTTTACCGACCAAATATTCAAATGAATTGCACAAACAATTAATCGCAAATCTTTTGATGAGGAGAAAGCGTGGACAGTGAAAATATTATGATACTATCTCAGTAGCTTCCTAAGCGGATTTCTCACAACCTCATTTCGTTACCAAAACCCAGTAAATTGTCAAATACTGAATTAGCTGAACAGTAGGAAATAATAGTTCTAGCTTCTTCCTTACAACATCATGAATGTCATTTGATGATATTGATAACGCTGTGAAAAACTGTACTTCACGAACACTTAATTAGTTTTTACTGATTTATTCATTTATGATAATGTGTTCCACGAATTGGGATTCATATAATTTTAAACAGACAATTCGTTTATCAAAACTCATATTTAGATCAATTTAGCGAATGCAATATTTTAAGTTGCCATACTCAAAATCGGTTTTCACTGTTACGACTTCTGTTAAAAATCAGCAACAGCTGACGTAGTTCGTGACAAACACAATCATAAAAAGACGGACAACCGAAATTTCAAGACGGGTCACAACCTAAAAACGACTGAAGTAACGGCTTTCGAGAACGGGTAAATCATAGAGTGATTAGGTTGTTGTATCGTTGAATCCTACTTTTCCCTTTATGTATGTTGAGACCTACTGCTGCAGAGGCTGCTGCTACACTGGTTATCTTCTCTTCCATTTGTCGCTGAGTGTGAGATAGAAGAACCAGATCGTTTGCGAAGTCTAGATCGTCCAGCTGCGTCCTGGCTGTCCAGTAAATGCCCTGCTTCCCTCCAGATGCCGACGTCTTCCTAACCCAGTTGATCAGTTCTCCATGGTTGTTTCCTCTCCAATGAGTAGATCCTGAATGGCCTAGAACATTTTGATGAGGGCTATCTTGAATTCGTTGAGTTTGTCAGTATCCGAAGAAAGACCGTATCGAAAGTCTGTGATGTTTCGTACCCTGCTGTCCAATGTTCCTTGAGGTTTCGTTTCATTATGTCGATCAGCAAGTGGTGATCCGAGGCTATGTCAGCTCCTCTCCTGGTTCTCACATCCTCATTGGTCCTTCTGAAACATTTTTGATACAGATGATACAGATGACCAGTTTGTTGAAGGCACATGGGTTTGCAAATCTTTTGCCATTTTCGTTCCTTTCTCCCAGTCCATGTCATCCCATGATGTCTTCATATCCAGTGTTGTCCATGCCAACCTTGGCATTTAGGTCTCCCTTAAGAATCGTCAAATTGTTTGGTAAGCATCTGTCGAAGACTGACTGCATCCTTCCGTAGAATTGATCTTTAACGTCGTCATTGTGGTCGTTGGTTGGTGCTTAGCATAGGATGACGTTAATTGTAATGTCCTCTTTCTTTGTTTTGAAGGATGCTTTAATGATCCTGGGTCCATCAGATTCCCGTCCTAGACTGCATTATTCAGTGACCTATTATAACCATCAGTCAGAGTAACCTCAATACCATCAAATTTGGTTTGGTCATTGTTGTTTATGGAAAGTTGGTTTTTTTGGTGTTATGGGGTCACCAAAACTCATGCCTCAACCTCCTCCTTTCCCCGGGCTTGAGACCGGCAGTAGCCCCAAAGTTCCATCAAATTTGACCTTCTCAATGTTCAGGCAGCCATCAAAACATACAAGCTAAGTGCCATCTGTGCGAATGACATACCATTCAATCTCTTTAAAACTGGACGACCAAATATTGTGGCTGTTCTGCCGAGAAAGTTTATTTAATCCTTAGAGGCTAGTGTATATTCTGTTTTGAATGTTTTGTTTTCGGAAAATCCCTCTATGTATATATATTTGTATTATGATATGATCGACTCTTTCTATTGATATTTTGATACTTTATTTGATTCCATTTTGAGATTTTATCATTGAATATTGTTATTATTTCTATATTTTGTACCCATATTGAAGTTTTTATGTTTCATTCTGAACTGTAGATATGTTGTTTAAGTTTGATATTTAATATGGCTACAGCCATATTTGGATTTGATACTCTAGGAGTAACGGACTGGAACCACTTATTATTCTAAAAACGGAACCCATTTTGAGGATTGGAAGCTCGAAGGTGTAATATCGTTTAGTTAATTGTCTGTATTTCCATTTTATTGCCTAATAGAACCGTTTTTCTCCCAGAATTATTGTTTTTGGTCCCGGACTGGGTGTAACGCGTGTGAACCTGCACCTGGCCAGTTTGTAGTGAACTGCAAGAGTAGAAAGTCCATAACAGCTAGTGCAGACCCATGCTATCCTCAGAGACTATGTATATACAATATTTGAGATAAAATGTCTAGGGTCATACTTGCGATGTATGAATATAAAACTTGGGAAAACTTCTTTCCCACTAAGTATGCACGGATATGGAACATATGGAACTATTACGATAAATCTGGAAGTGTTTGTATTCTTCTGTATTCACCTGTACAATCGTATTCCTTGAGAATAAGAACTCCTATCAATATTTTAATGACAGAGGGAAGTCAAGACAAAGCAGAATCTATGACGGACTATTTTCGGACAATTTTCACTTTGTATACACTCCTCAGAGAGTGGCTATATCAAGGAACAGTGGAGAGATCTACTTTTAACTATAAACCTACATTAAGGCAATAAACTGGAGACCGTAACCACTTGGTTTACAGTAAAACCAATAGAATCGGATAAACTAGGCCCTATTATTCAAATGAATTTAATTACCTTGGAAGATTCAC